AGATATGCAGCCTAACTCACAGTTCACAAATAAACCCAATTGTGTTGTAGCTATTTGTATGGACTATACTTCAAGTCAGCATACGGATGGGTATAAAATGAGAGGATGCATTTGCTGGCTATTATGAAGTTCCATTGTCTGGTTATATGACCAACATATGAATCATAATCAAAAGCAGTAGCTGTAACATCATGTAACATTCAGTGCAAAGAATGCCAGGATAATCAATAAAATATATCAGAGAAGAAATGGCCACCTAGGGATCATCATTGGTCTTGTTTGGATCACATGGTGTGCAAAGAGGTTGCTTTAGTGTGAGAGTCTATATTTTTATGACTTTTAAATGGTATGTTTTGGAACAAAAGTTCCAAAAGATGTCTAGCTCAGCTGTTTTCAACTATTTGGAAATGAAAATAGAGTGGAATTCTGACTAACAAACACAGTTGAAATTCAGATTGGACTAAGTTAACAGCATTTGCTTGGGGAAAGTTGCTTCTTTTTACAAAAATTATGAAAGGAATGCACAGAAATGAACTAATTTTTTTTATTCCAGAAATGGAAAACTCACCACACTTACTAAAGCATATATTGAAATCCAGGTATAATCCACTTCATCCTAAACTGCACAGCAGGAACTGAGGCAAATAGAAAACTACAAGTTATTTTGTGCAATGAAAATGTGATCCAAAATTTCCTGAATACAATAAAAATAATCTCATCAACTTCAATGGACTTTTGATCAGGCCCCACTTCCTTCACTATGAAGGACTCATTTTTGTTTTTAGAATATAGAGCAGAAACACTGAGAGCATATTCTGCTCTGAAAATGCTGCAGTGCCTCAGAAAGCTATCTGCATCTTTGGGAAGTTAAATTGACTGTGGTAATCTGTCACTGAATAAAAAAAGAAGGAGAATTTGAATCAAAGTTGATAATGAGCTTCAGGGAGGTATTGTTAGTGTTTGTGCTCATTAAAAAACAGGGATTAAAGCAGTCCAATTAGTGCCCAAGCATAAGAGTAAAAGGGACGAAGTCCAAAGATATGGCAACTGAAATTGTAATAAAAGATGTTTTGTACTTGTTTAGAGGTTCCTTCATGCATTTGTGAAACAACAGATAATTTATATTCTCCCCTTTCAGAACTATAAGCTTATCTGTTTGTTTGAAAACTTTTTTCACTTGGCTTCACATGACTTTTTAAAGAAAAAGTAAGTATCGGTAATTAGATTCCCATCTGCAAATAACATCAGAATTAATTGAGGATTAATGCAACTGGATTGGAACTTCTTCAAAGGACACTTGTTGGGGTTTTTTAATTATCTCCCCTTTGAGGAATTGTGTGTATGGTAATGTCTCCTGTGTGGAATAGAAAGTAGCAGAAAAAGTGAGATGCTTTGCAATGAAATGCAATGCTTTACTGCAATGACACACAATGAAATGCTTTAGGTGTGTTATCTAGGCACTTACCACCTTATTTTCCAGGTTAATAGAGATAGCTGGGTGACTAATTCCATATAGTTTTAAATAAGGAATTTCTAGTAACTTTGTGAGCTGTCAAGCATTCAGTGGAGGACCCTGAATGACTGTCCTTGACCAGACCCCTAACTTCTAAACAGCTTGAACTGCCTTTTTTTTGGTAGGATTCTTCTTGCAGATGCGGAAATCTGCATGTCTAAAGTTGAGCCAGGTGCCTGGCCTTCAGTTTTAAAGGTGTGGTCAATCCAGTCGAAAGGCCTGTGAGAATTATTTAACATGTCCTGAAATAAACATTTTCATTTTGTCACTTGTGGTGTTTTGTGCATAGTCCTGAGCAACCAGCTCTGGGAGTGGGCCAGATGACCTCCAGAGGTCCTTTCCAACCTTAACCACTCTGTGATTCAGAGCCTTGTCAGGGACAGTAACAAGAATTGTCCAAGAACTAAAAACACAATTTTAAATTACCCTGCAATGTTATCTCCTGGCCTATCTCTGTTATGATTTATTATCTGCAATTTTGTAATAGAATCATAGAGTCATTTAGGTTGGAAAGGACCTCTAAGATCACCAAGTCCAACCACTAATCCAGCACTGCCAAGTCCACCACTAAGCCATGTCCCCAAATGCCACATATTCATGCCTTTTAAATGCCTAGAACTGTCAGGTCTAGACAAGAACTGTACTGTATTAGTCATTAATATCTGACAAAATTATCTAATTATATGTACATAATAACACAAGGCTGAACAATCCAGCATTCAAATTGTGGGAATAGGCAGATGGGATCTTCTCCCAGATATTTTCTTGCACAGAAATTCACTAAAGGTCTTTTCTCCTGGTGCTCTTTCCATTTCATCTGAGATATCACTTTTCGAGAAAAATATCTGTTTATATTAAAGACTTGTTCTCATGTACTGCAAAGAAATACAGTCCAAGTCATGTAAAATCACTTGCCAGTGTACTTAAGACAGTTTGCTGCATCAAAGAGGGAATGCAGAGTACTGTGGTGAATTCCTCAGTTTGTATAAAACAGGGAGGGAAAAGCATTTTTTTGGTGGCTTTTTTGTTTGATTGTTTTCTTGCTTTTCTCAGCCTATAACATTACTTGGACTATTATGCAAGACTGCAGGAAAATGAAGAAAAATATACCAATTGCAAGCATAAGACTTCCTGTCAGCAGAGTGAAAATAACCTGATATCCTTTTCCAACAGGGACGCTTGTAGTAGTACCAGTTTTATGACCCACAGCAATGGCCCATTTCACTTCAGGATGTTATCCTTAATAGGATCTAAAAGATTGTGAATAAAGTTTTAAAACTTGGGTACTAAATCTACATTTATGCATGCAAATCAAGCACTCAGAGAGTGGATGAGGAAACAACAGGAGCATAAATCTCTAGCTTGCTAATGAGGGTTTGCTGCTGGGAGTCCTGCATTGTGGCTTCTTGCAGTCCAGCTCTTCACTCCCTACCCCAAGCCATTGCTTAATGCCAATTCCCTCCTTCCTGTCTTGGGAAGGTGCTCTCATACCAGACCACATGTCTGGGGGAGGGAGGGGAATTTGATGCTTTTCTGGAACTGAGGATGGAAACACACAAGACTGAGAATAGAGGAGAGAAAGTCTGTTCTATAGGAGACATAAGGACAAAGTAGAGACTTAAGGGAAAGGCAAAAGATTAGGAGAGCAGTGGCAGACAAAAAAATCCATCAAATCCAGAGGATGGGAAAATGGCGAGCAAGGACAAATGACAGAGATAGAAATTCTGGATTATATGACTTATTAGAGCCAACACATTTTCAAACAGTGGAAAGTTTTTTCTTTAATATATCTGCTGGCAGATTTGGATGGGGTGTCTGCACCCTTCCTGTAAAATTGGCATCCCATTGCACATTAAAAGGTAATATCCAAGGAGTACTACAAAATCTTGTATTTTGAGTGGTGTGTTGGCAGTACAGGCTTGAAAAGGAAGAAACACAGGGATTTTGGCTGTGAGCTAATGCATGAGTAGGTGTGAAGAGCTCTCCTTGTCTAGGAAAAGAGTTAAGTGATTAACTGATGTTAACTGAGAAAATACCAGGGAAAAAATGAAGCTAAGCTATTTACAACAGGATAACTTAGGTCTGGTTTTACAGGCAAGGAAAGAAATGATTAAAATTGGTGTAAAAGTAGGGAAGCATCCAGTCTCAGGACATGTTAAATTCATGTCTGGTGCATGAATTAAACTTGCAATGCAGACAGAGATTGCAGTGATTTAACGTGTAACTAAAATGGAGAATCTTGACAGGTAGAAGATAACAAGTGAGACAGTAAACCAAGTCATACTATATATGTTTTTAGAGAAACTGTTTTTATGATCTCTGCATGATAAAAAGATCAGCAAAAAGACCTACTGACAAACCCAGGACAGAGTTGAGTTGTGCTTTTTGGTGAAGAGATCGGAGCAGAGCTGACTCTGGAGCAGCTGCCTGCTGACCCGGGGCATGCAAAGTGGGGTGTGGGTCCAGTGTGGGGGTCTGGGGTGTCAGCAGCCCAGCAGCTCTGGCAGCTCCCTGAGTACTAGCTGTGCCTGAGACAGTGTGACTGTCAGGAAAAGCAGCAAACCCTGAAAGGAAAAATTAATATTAATACCCCCCACTTCTACAGATTAGGTCCCTTTTTCAAAGATACAGCATGTTCTTTCAGGTAGTTCAGATCTGCTTAACAATTTATTTTCTTTATCATATTGATATTTAATTTGCTTTCAGTATAATAAGTAGCTTAAACCACTAAGTCATTAATGCTATCACCCTTGTAGTCTGCATTATCAGTCTTGCATCTATTAATTTAGAAAACAAAAATTAAATTTGGGGTAGATAACAATACACTTTTCTCATATGCTGAACATTGCAACATTTCTCAGTTCTCTTCATTAATCTGTGTGAGGTAGAAGTGCCTTTGGTTTAAATTACCTTTCCTACTTCTAGAATATACAGATAGTAAAGGCTGTAGCCCCACTGTGATGATCTTCTAGGCAATTCAGACTGACCATATCAGAGCATGCTTAGAAGCTGAAGTTTCAAATGAGCAGCACATTTTATATAATGCTGTTTCAGGTTATTACTTTATTAACTAATGTTTTGTAGACATCCAGGAGGAAATAAATGTTAAGGAAAGGTCCAAATCAACTGTGGGAGGTGTCTGCGTGAAAAGGAAAGCAAAAAAAAAAAAAAAGCTGAGCATCAAAACACACTTCTGGACAACTAATTCTATCAGAAAGTTTTTCAAAGTATTTGAAATTAGACTTAAGAAATTAGGCTTTATAAGATCACAGTTTTGCACTTTTCTCTGTTTGTACTGAGTATAATGTTAACAAAAGCAAATCGAACCAAAAGACATCCCACTGTCATCATATCTGCCTTTGCTCTGCCCTTCTGATGTGTCTTATCTTTGTTTTGTTTTGTTTTCAGGGGCACATTGCAATTTCCCAGAAAAAATCATACCATGGATGTTCGAGTCAAAGAGTTCACGTTGATGGCACTGCTTGCTATGGTTGATGCTCGTCTGCCAAAGCCAGCACGGGCCCCTCTGGTTCTGCACAAGCCTTTCATGGTCGTTTGGAATGCGCCAACTGAGCAGTGCAGGCTGCGGTACAAGGTGGACCTGGATCTCAGTGTTTTTGACATTGCATCCAACATCAATGAAACTTTGAGTGGATCCAATGTGACAATCTTCTATCACACTCATTTGGGATACTATCCATACTACTCAGATAATGGAGATCCTGTTAATGGAGGGGTGCCCCAGAATGAAAGTCTTCTCAAACATCTTAGTAAAGCAAAGTCTGACATTGACTATTGCATACCCATGAAGAAATTTCGGGGACTTGCAGTTATTGACTGGGAAAACTGGAGGCCCCAGTGGGATAGGAACTGGGGCAATAAAAGCATTTATAGAAATAAATCTCTTGAGATTGTTAGGAGAAGGCATCCTCGGTGGTCAGAGGACAAAATTAGGAAAGTGGCTAAAGAGGAATTTGAAAATGCTGGCAGGAGTTTTATGAACAACACCATCCTTCTGGCTGAGTATATGAGACCAAATGGTTTGTGGGGTTACTATCTGTACCCAGACTGCTACAATTATGATTACAAAGAACACCCCCACACATACACAGGGAAATGCCCACCCATTGAGTCTTTCCGCAATGACCTCCTGATTTGGCTGTGGAAGGAAAGCACTGCTCTCTACCCTTCTATATACCTGGATTATATACTGAAGTCAAGTCCAAATGCACTAAAATTTGTTCACTATCGGATTAAAGAGGCAATACGCATTGCCTCAATTGCTAGAAAAGACTATGTTTTGCCTGTGTTTGTTTACTCCAGACCATTTTATGCCTACACTTTTCATGTTTTAACAGAGGTAAGCAGACAGACTTCTTTAGAAATTCAGAGACTAGAAACAGCCTCTTAGAAAAAATATGTTCTAAAAGCTTTTCTTGGATAAAAGCACTTATGTATTTGTTTTTCGTGTTTAAGGCAACACTTATGAAAGGAAGTACTGTAGTCACAGTACAAAAGTCTACACCTTTCAAGAGTTAATAAAGCAGTGGTTTGATCTATTTCTGTAGGATAACATTGTATATTTTTAATGAAGGTAATTTAGAAAGAAACTACAAAGAAATAATTTCCTTAAGGAAGTAATTCATTCTGATATTTCAATTCTTCAGGACTGCTTGTGAAATGAACTTGACAAATTCTGTGAAGTTTAAAACTAATTAGTGTAATGGAAAGATAAACTTTCATGAGAAAGTACCCTCAGGGCTTTTTTGTTTCTTTATGCAAATGGAAATTCATTCAGTACAGAAATAAGCCAGTCAAGTAAAGTAGTCTGGCCTGGAGTTCCTAACTCCTGCATGATGAGCATTGGCCATCTATCTCACTCTTCAGAGGTACAGCATGTTCAAATATCTTCATGTCCAATATTTAGTGCTAAAACTGTGGCGTTCCTTCATTAAAGAAATCAAGTTTTTGAGTCATGCAATGTTCCTTCACCAATGATGAAGTGCAATAAACAAATAGCAGCCATGACAGTGATTGTGAAAATATATACATACAAAGCCCAGACTTTCTGGATATTTAATGAAGATTGTGGCTCTGACTTTGTTTATGTACATAATAGAGAGGCACAGAGGCTTAGTCATTCCTCTAGTAGTTGTCCCAAGTGGCAATTGTTTTGCTTCAATTGTTACCAATTCCATGAGAGAGGAGAAAATCTGAGGCAGGGAACTTACGAAAGCAACTCCTTGATGACCCTGTGCTCCCTCCCTTTGTTGTATGGAGAGCTGCATGAGAGCCTGCTGCCACAGACAAGTTCTTGACTCAGACCAGAAAAGAAAAAGGGATAGATGTGGGAAAGGAAAAGGCGAAGGTCAGTCCAGTGAACCACGGGCTGCATATGGCTTCAGCCTGGAGCTGGAGCCAAGGAGGTGTGGTGGAGCCCTGAGAGCCTGAGAAGTGTTTCAGACTCAGAAGGAAATGGTACTTTTAGGCAGCCTCTGGGAAGCAAATTGTACATAGAAATAATCATGAATTTGGTCTGCCTCATTTTTAGCAACCAGGGACAGTCTGAAGCTGTTTTCTGTGTGGAAACTGCAAGTCCTAGCTGACTCAGAAATCATGGGCAGAGAGGCAAGCCTGGGTCCCACTGAAGGCAAGGAGTCTCTGGGGTTTCCAGAACATCTGCACTGAAGGACTCAGGCTATGAAATTCATAAGAGTTGTTTAGCTGCAGCCTGTAGTAATAAATTTTTATAAAATTAATTAGTCCCTTGGTTGATATAAAAATACCATGAATGTTACTGAAAGCTATGAAAACTAACATGATCTTCCCAGTTATGTGTTAGTTCAAAATCTATGGGGGTATAAAGTTGCTGGTTCACCTTAAGCTATTTTCTGAACAGTACAGTGGTAATTTGGAGTGATGCTCCTCTTAAGTTACACTCTTTAACTCACCAGCCTGTTTTCCAATCACACGTAGCCATTTACTTTTGGAAGCTTTAATGATCACTTATAACTCTGCAGCCAGGGAAGGTCTCTGCAATGCCAGAGAAACAGCTTTGAATTATGCTCCACTTCATATTTTCTAAGGACAGTACCTAGCACCACAGGCAGCCATGGGACAGGGTTTAATGTGTCTCCAGACTATACACATCATCTGTGAGAACAGCTTGGGGTCTGACAGGAACTTGCAGGGTTGCATTTAAGAACATTCTAAATAGGAATGATCCAGAAAAATGTTCTGGTTTTCTTTCAAAGCCCTGGAGCCACCAGGATATTTGAAAAGTGGTTTTGTGTGTTTAGATTTTAGACTAGATTGGAGCTTCTCATTTGACCCATGCTACGCCCTTAAGTGATGCTCCCAAAGTTACAAACAAGGCACGAAACCTCTGAGCTCTAGCAACAATGTGCATGAATGTGACAAAGAGAGGTGCCAGTGTAGCACAGTGACATCCAGGCTAAGTGGCCATATTAAAAATGGGATAGCAGGCTACTAGATACCTGAGCTCTACCAGGGACTGGGCCAGGAGAACCTGTTCCATCAAGCTGTGAAAGAGCTGTACATTCTATTCCAACAGACATGCTACTGACATATTCAAGATTTGTGTGTAAGCCTTTCTGTACACAGTATGAAATACACAGTAAATAGCACAGTGGAGTCAAGTAGAAAGAATTGTTGTGAGTCAGAGTCAATGAGGGAGAGACACAGGTCTAGCAGACCTTCAGAAATACAAAATGCCCAGGTCCCAAACAGATGCTGTAGCTCTGTGGGCTGTATCTTTCACCCTAACTGCATCTGGAAATTGAGTGAGTTGTGCATAATGTGTCTGAGAAATTAATCTTATGTTTTTCTCGGAAACAATTCATACGTTCTGAATTGGGATCCAAATCATTATGAAAGGTTTCTGTATTTGCTACAAATGAGTATAAGCAGTTTACCATCTGTAGGGTATTTAGAAACTTTCTGCCTTGAAATTCACTACTAAATGTGTGGGAGAGGGAAGTCACACAGTAGCATCTGTGCTTCCTGACTAGATGGCTGAAGTCATTAATAAAGCAGGATGACAACTGACAAATGTTGAATAATGGATAGCATTTCTCTTGTTCATCTACAGATAGTCTTCTCTGATGACCAGGTGTGCATGTGTACAGAGGCCATTCCCTGCAACATGCCACACTTGCACTACCATTCCTGAATACAGAAAAAGCATGTCTGTAACTAAGACTGTTCAAAATTTAAAGGAAAGATTAGAGATGTACTAATTTTTCTTTCCTCAACATGTAACTAGAATTGACTGTTCTGTTTCCTCTCAAGCTCCAAAACTGAAACAGTTTAGCTCACCTCCGATTTTTTTAGTGTCAACTGCAGTGACTTGGCTGATCTAAATATGGAGAAGCATTGATAGAAACTAGAGCCTTCTTCTCCCTGCCAAATCAACTGTCCACTTGGAGATAGCCCAGAATAGTCTTGAGGATCTTTGGTTTTGGTTATTTTATATCCATATGAATTAGGCATGAAGTGCTCTAATCCTTTTGTGGATCTGATAAGAGTAACAAAAGAAAGATGTGGAATATGGGGAAACAATAACTGGATTTACTGACTTCTGGTGAAGCACTTTAATTCCTAAGGTATATTACTTACAAAAATTAATTTCAGAGTTTGGTCGGGACTTAGTTCATTCAGCAATGCTAAATAGGTATTAATTATTTATTATGGCTATCTGAAAAGTTTTCATTAATCGGCTAATAAGATCTGAACTATGTTTGTGCTAAATCACTCAACTATCATGTGACTAATGTAGAATCACAGTCCAGTCTTTGTATCTGGATAAACTTCAAAAAATCCTTTGCAAACAAGAAAGGCCTGGGAACTCTCATTACCAAGAGGTCCGGCTGTATCTTACATTCTTTTAACATTTGATATTTTTGATCTATAATTAACATAGGGGATTTTTAACTAATAAATTAATTTTCATAGGAAAACCCCACGACCACTTCCCACTTGAAAATAACACCTGCAGCCCACACTACTATCCTCTTAAAAGCTATCACTGGACTGTACACTTTTAAGAGTAATGACATTCTCTAAGACTGCTTGGATGATCAGCAGCAACGCAAACTTCAGGCAAGACCAATTGTATTTTGCATCACTCTGAACCCTACATTAAGAGCCAGTAGGCAAGCTCTGCTCTTCTAGATTTCTGCAGGTTTCCCCGCACTGTTTTGTCCAACCTTTAGTTAAGGGTCCCTACTCACTTTGACTTCTCTGTAATTGTCTTTAGATCTCCAGTGGATTTTCCCTTTCACAAGGCATTAATTTGTGCCGCCTTTGATATTTCTCAGGCCATAAATATTTCAGGGACTCCATAACTATGCATTGATAAATCATCAGGCCCACTTAGACAGAGAAATAAATTATTTAGTAGTAATTAATGATAAGAACATGGTTTTTCTACTCTATAATTTTGGTTTTCTAAGGTGCCACCACCATACAAAGATAATTTGTCTGGTCTTTTGGATTGTTTTCTCATAAAAGAGGTGAAAAGACTGCATCACTATCTTTTTAAGAGACTTGCTCTTTCTTCAGCAATTCAAGAAATATTGTAATAGCTGTCATTACAAATATTGATCAGGAATAACTTTAAAATCAATTATTGTAGACAGAAATGCTTTGATCATACCCTGAAATTTTAGGAAAGAAGAGGTCCTTCCACTGTGTTTTCTAAGTTTTAATTGCATTTCTTCAGACACAATATTCAGAGTCTCAGGACTTTCAGACACTTGCAAGATACATTGCCATGCTGTTGGCGAGGCACCAGCAACTCCTGTTCTGCCCTCACGCTGTGCTCTGGTGTGTTACTGCTGTGACTTGAGTACTTATTGGTTCAGTTCTAAATGTGGACATGGTTAAATCAGTATGCAAATACTTTCCACTCCCACCCCCATTTGGCTCTATACAGCACTGAGAGATACGTTTCAAAGATGTTTCCTTGGACTAATGGATTCACGCTGATAGAAACAGCAGCCCTGGAACTGTGTTGGCATAGCTAAAGCAGCACAGCTTAGAGCCCTGCCTAAAGCCTATCAACTGCAATTGGACACTGTAAGGGTGATCCAGTTATGTGTGATCATATTTATCATCCCTTGCCAAAAATTAATCATCACTTACCAAACCTATGTAGGTTTGGTAATCATTCAAAGACTGCTAGATAAAACAGATCAATCAATTCTTACTCCACCAGATTGTTTGGAGAAACCCCTGTGCATAAACTACAATGATTTCATTATTTAGTAGTCTCACTCATGAATGCTACCTATGCAAACCTTTGGAAAGACACAGAAGAGCTTTCTAAATTAAACAGTGATTTTATTGTGAAGAATATACCACAGAACTAAAGGTGCCTCTGGGGGAAAAGAGTGATGCCCATATCCTAATACTTTTTTACTTTTATATCTTTTTTTTTCTGATGAGTGGTTTTGGCCTACTTTTTTCAGACGGATCTGGTCAACACCATTGGGGAAAGTGCAGCTTTGGGAGCAGCTGGAGTTGTTCTCTGGGGCAGTATGCAATATGCCAGCTCCAAGGTAGGTTGTATCAGTTTATCAGTATTTAGGAATCATCTCAATACCATTTCTCTGCCATGACACCCTCTGTAGCACCTACCTACCTTTATCAATGTCATCAGCCAGTGACTGAGGATTTGCCTCAGTACTGATTTCAGGTCTTGTTAGTTCTATACTTTTGTTAGGCTGAGAAGTCCCATTGCTCAGAACACATTACTTTGGGCAGGTCGTTTGTAGCTCATTGGAATAATGAGTCCAGGTGAGAAGATGTGTTGTGAAACAATGCCATACAAATAAAAGCACTGCTTGTTTTGCAGTGTTCTACTTTGTAGCTCTGGCAGTTTACGGATCCACTGAGAAGGAATGGAGCTTGAAGACAGGGCATTTTCTCTGGTTGTAAGTGTTGATATGACGCATGGAAAATAATGTTACCACAAGAAAAGCTCTAGTTCCTCCTCTCAGGTTCTTCAGGCTTTCACAAATAATCCTTCTTGAAGTGATGGAGGAAATGGGAAGCTGCCCTGGGGTTTCCCAGGAGGCATGGTAAGCTAGTCCCCACTCCTAAACCTGGGGTGGGCTTTGATGCCCACTCTACTTTTCATGCAGTCTGCTCTTCCCCTCCTAAAGTCTCTGGCAAAGCACCACTGACTTGGGCAGGGGAACAGGTTGCCCAAGGAGGTGGTGGAGTCATCATCCCTAGAAGTGTTTAAGAGGCATCTGGACCTGGCACTGGAAGATATAGTTTAGGGTTTAGGGGTTACAGTGGAGTGACAGGTTAACAGTTGAACTCGATGAACTTAAAGGTCTCTTCCAACCTTGATGATTCTGTGGTTCTGTGAAGCAGGAAATGTGAACTGGAACTTTCTAGCTGCAATTGCAGTAACTTCTGTGCTGGTTTATGAAAATGATGTAGCTCATGATAAACTGATGGAGATGGACAGATCAGGGCCAGAGTAGTGACTAAATACATGCTTTAAAACCTGTTGGTCTCATGCACAGCTCCTAGTCAGCAGTTACCAAAGACCTCTACTTAAGGAACTATTTAGTCTCAGACTAACATATAAACTCTCTTTCTGCTTCCTAGGACTCCTTCCTAGTTTAATACTCTATGTTTCTACCAGGCACTCAAATAGACAATAGAGTAAAGGTCAATATTTTTCTAATCTTACTCATAGAAGTAAGCGAATTTAAACCCAATAGATCACTCCTGTATGTAAATCCAACAAGATTTATCTCAATGGGTTACTTTAGCCAAGAACTCTTTATTGCAAGAATTTTCTTAGTTATGATAATGTTGGACACAGTGCTAGCTACTGTCTTGTGTCATGGTCTTTTATTATTTACAGGAGAGCTGTTTAACTGTGAAACGGTACATCGATGGACCCTTAGGACATTACGTCATTAATGTGACTGCAGCAGCCAAACTCTGTAGCAAAGTCCTGTGCAAGAAGAATGGAAGATGTATCCGCAAAAACAGTGACTCTTCTGCATACCTTCATTTGTCACCCAGTGATTTTAAGATCCGAGACCATCACTCAGAGGGGGGCCCCAGGTTCCAGATGACTGGTGAACCAAGCCTGGAGAGTATTGAAGCCATGAGGCAGAGATTCGTTTGTCAGTGTTACCAGGGCTGGACAGGAATATTTTGTGAATTGCCTGACCAAAGGCTATTGGAGCACTGGGTTCATGTTGTGTTCAGTAGATCAAGAAAACAAAAGCTCTTTGTCGTCCTCTTAGGAGCCATGCAACTTCTACTACTTTGTTCTGCACACTAAAGTCTTCTGAAACAGTGCAAGGAAATAAGAAATGGAGCCACTAGGAGTTCTGTTCCTTGGCAAGTTTTTATTGCACAGGAAAAAGGCACTGTTGATTAAATAATTTTCTCTGTTTTATTCATCTCCCACTCCTGGAATTTCTTCAGATATTGAACATTTTGAGAGCAGACTCCTCTTTTTTTATCAGCTCTGTTATTCCTAACTCATGTTTTACTCATACATTCAACAACTAAAGCTTCTGCTGCAGCAGTGGAAGCTTTACCTGAGTTAAAAAGCTGGATAAACATGTACAAAGATTCATCCATGTAGAAGCTTAAAATGAAAAGGACACAGAACCTCTTTGTTTCAAGGCTGAGTGATTTAACACAGTGATGAGGAAAGTGTTCATGTGGACCAGGGATCACAAATTGTTCTCTGCAGCTGTTGCTGAAGTCAAGTGGCACTTCGTGTGAGCAGCAGCACTGTGCCTAGAGCCACATCCACTGCAACTCACTGATCCTACTGTTTCTGCATGGGCAGCGTGAAGGGTATAGAGTTATGTATGAGTGCACACTTTTTAAATGTTTATTCCAGTATTTCAAGGCCTAATTTGATCCATATTGTTTCTAGAGTTATCAGTATCTCCAGTGCTGGTGTTGTGCCATCAGTTTCAAAGGTACTGTTTAACTGAACATCTCTGCAATTGCTTCTAGGTGAGGGGCTCCTGGGCTCTGAGAGCAGCACTGGCAGCTGGCACCCCTGGGCAGTGCTTCTGCCTGGGCAGGCAATAGGAGAGCACATCTCCACTCACTCCGACCTACTGGGAAGCAGGCAGTCTTGCTGCTTGGCATCCCTGCTGCCTTTGGGGCTGCTGCAGGTCTTTGCTTTCTGCTGGCTGGTCAGTGACTGGGAAATGAGAACAGGCTGACAGATCTCACTGTCAGTGTGTGCCTCCCTCATGAAGAGCAAATGAAAAACTCTATTCATTGGAATATTTTGGCTTGCAGCCTTTGGCTTCAGATGGGGACATCTTTGAAGGTGGTATAGCTTAATGAACTACTGATTACTGGTTAATTTAGCAGCCATAGCACGCCATCCTGTCAGGCTGTGGCATGTCCATTTGCAGTTATTTATTGGTTCATGTTCATGTGTGAACAAACATATTTCATCAAAGCCCTATCTGTTTGCCACAGAGACTTTTGATGTAACAAACAATGGGTGCCTTCATTGAATTGAAGACAAACCCAGGAAATTCCCTACATCTCCCTGACTTATGGAAGATACTAAAATAATTTTATTTTGAAGCTTTGGTATGATGCATTGAGCTGAGTATCATTCCAGATCACGGACATGGACATTAATAGGAAACTCACATGTGGGTCTAAGACTTTTTTTTTGCCCTTACTGGTGTCTGCATTGATCATCTGTGGGCTGACTGCATTGCTTCCATTACACAGTACCTATTTCTGTAGCAGTTTGATTGAAATCAGCAAGGCTATATGGAGAGGATACTCAACTGAGTAGGGAGGTCTGAATCTGGCCCTTAGCCAGGCCCCCTTCTTGATACTGCCCTAAATTATTTTAAACATCAACATGTTTCAATGTATTATAATGAGCTGGAGTGTCCTGTGTTCTATGTAATCTCCTGTTATCTCTGAACAATCCTTCATGGTAACCCCACAAAAAACCCTTATATTTGCTTTGCCAGGACCAGATTCACAGCTGGTGTGTACTGTGATGCTTAGATTCACTCAACCAAAGATCCAGCTCACAACAGACCCACACTGGATATTTTAAGGCTGCAATGATACCTTTAAACCTAGACACTGGAGAAGGACTTACTTCAGTTAAACAGAGACCTAGTGCCAGCTATAGTGAGTCACTCTGTAATGACATGCTGAGAAGCTACAGGAGACCTTTGCCACTGACCTTTTGCTTTATAATGTGTAGTGACAATGAATGACAGCAAAAGTAAAGGTAAAACAAGTTCATTATTTTGGTGTGGGTGAGAAAGGATTAAAATTAAAGTTTAGAAAAACTGACAGCAACTGAGAGCTATGCCTTTAGACTGCAGTTATGGTGTTTGCCTTTTAAAATATTTATTATATTAATTTTATATATATTCAGCTTTAGCTCCTTTATTTAGTTCAGAGTTTGTTAAACTTCAAGGGAACTTATGCATACTTCTGTGTATTAAGGGCATAGAAACTAGCCCAGTTTTGCTAAATGCCTGTCACCAGTGTAGGTCTGTATTTAAACTGGATGCTTCTGCTCTATGTAATGCTGTCCTGTGTCCTGAAACCAGAGCTGATGTGAAAATGCTGTAATGTTCATGCACTGTGTCAATGAAAAGTTTATAAAACGTTCTGTGTCATTTTGTAACACATTTTCATTATTTCTGTAGGCTTATAAGAATAGACTGTTGTGACTTACACACACAACTTATTTGGGTAGCATAAATTCAATTAAACTGACATAAGAGCTTCATCAGCTAAAGTTCTGGCAATTTGTGGGAAGTTTGTACAAGCTACAATTGCTGTGGCTGAAGTGTCAATGTTCCTGATTCAGTCTGTGATGTACATTCTCTAATAGGGAACACTGGTAGAGCCCTATTCAAGTCCATAAGGCCCTGTCAGTTTATGTCAGGTGAGAATTTACCCAATGGCTCTTCTTCAGTCTAAGTTACCATTTCACATTGAAGAGTGTATGAGTGTCTATAGTAGTACATCTACCTGGACATAAAGGTTGTTGGATTTGGCTTCTATATTGCTGTGAAGAACTGCGAGCCCAGGTTACATCCTTATCACTAGGTTGTCTTAGGTAGAAGACCAAAATCAGAATTTGGTCTGGGCTTCTTAATAATTATTGAAGGAACCAAGGATCTAAGTGAATGTAACTTTACAGCCTTTTTTTTTTTTTGTTTTTTTTTGATTTCACCAAGTTAGAGCCCTTTCTTTTGTAAAGAAAATAAGGTTTATTATAACACAATGTCCCTGGAAGTTCTTTACAACTACAGCTGCCAGAGGTGGACTTGGAGGTAGCCCTGCTGCTGACTGAGGACAGGCAGATATGGGTTGCACCCCATATCTTTATTCTTCTCAAATGCTGAGCTGTAGAGTCCTCTAATTATCAGAAGATAAACAATACCAAAAGAAATGTGACTGAGGGGCTTCCAGCTTTTTTCAAGTTTGCTGATTTAGCATTCAAAACCTTTGAAATGGGGAAATGTTATGCTCATTTCCTTTTTCTCTTTTGCCACACCTGGGTGTTGTACTCAATAAAATGCTGTATGTTCTGAGCCACTCATAAATGTATGCAAGGCTGGGACTCATTTTGTTACACTTCAATTTAACTAGTAGATATGTAGGGTTGTGATTCCAGCTTGACCAGCTTTAGGTGCCACTGGCCTCTTCTTCCCACTCCCAACCTTTCCTCTCGTTTCCATCTCTGTATCATGGTGTGCTGTCCCCTGCTTGTACAGGCACTGCTGTACAGGGGCCCTTGCCCTGGGAAACTATCCAGGTCAAAAGTTCCCTTTTGAAAGAAAGGTGCTTCCCCATGATGCCTTTTTCCAAAAGTCAGATTAATTCCTCTATTTGACTCACATCACTCTGCTCATACAGCTGAGCCAGGGCTAAGGAAGTGGATGGAACCCATAAGGAAGTGGTAACAAAGCTGTAAGCTGAGTACTGCCACTCAAGACAGTAAGTCATGAGTAAGTAGCCTTGGTATGTAGTTGCAGTACCAGTCATCACTCACCCTACCTGTCCCGTGGGGTCTGTGTGGCAGGGGAAGGGCAGTGCCTGACAGCCTCTTTGCTCCTCCCTGCCCCCATGGAAGATCAGTGGGCAGCACATCAGTCCAAGGACGGGGATGCTGCCATGTCAGGGCACCTGCTGGATTCCCCAAACCTGAGGTCTCCTTGCAGTGATCAGCCCAGACTCAACAGATGTCAAAGTCAGGGTAGGTAAAACTCTCCTGGAGTGGCCCAACTCAGGAACGTGGATATTTAATGTGTTTTCTCAAGCCCACTTTGGCCACTGAGTCTTTAATTTGAAAAAAAGATGAGAAAGTCTTGCTGGCTGAATGCAGTCATACAGCATTTTTGTTTCATCAGTTTTTCCAAATGCAATGTTCTCTGCTAGGGTCAGTGGCTTTGTAAAAAAGGGGAATGATATTGTTATTTTAAAAGGTGCTAACAGATCTCTCAGACTAAAAGAACAAAATGAAATCTCAGACCAGACTGGACTTGTAACACTGCACATAAATACACATGTGTACATTTCTTCTGTTAAAACTCCTTGCTAAGATAAAAAAAAAGTTGCTTAAATTAAAAATGACATCTGTTTTGCATTGAAAGCACTTGTTGTAGATAATGAATTAATCTTGGACATCATGCATAATAAGAATACACATGAAAGTGTTTTGCCAAAGAAACTGATACACTTGAGATGCTGTTGCAGCCCCAACTTATTTTTTGTTTACCTTTCAGGAAAAGGAATTTCCTGTCAATCTGGGCCAGACTCAGAGGGTGGGAGTGTTTACAAACACAGGTTACTTTAAAAATAAGTTGGAAATGATAGTTCCATACACTTCGAAGAATGATATTGGCTGACAACAGTACAGCTTCTCAGACATAGAAGTTCGATCTTTCCCAAAGCCCAAGCAAAAACAGTGCTGCTGCAGTGCTTAATGAATTAAAGCCTCTGAGTTGTTCTTATTTAGCAATGGCACCATGTGCCTTCCACAAACCATAGCATGAAGCAGTAAGAAGCAGTTAGAGGTCCAGTTAGGAAAGTGGGGAGAACTCTTTTGGTGGTTTCTCAAATTGTGTTCTTGAGATTTAACTTTGCTGCTTTTAATAGTTGCAATGTACCAGTTTGTCCCTTGTTTAGTGTCAACAGAGTAATTCCACAGTAGCATTCTTCTGGTTCAACAAATGCCTTGTTTAAGTTGTAATAAGAAAACAAGGGGATATGTGTGTGTGTGTTGATATCCATACATATCTACATGAATGTGTG